CGGGGATTCGAACCCGCGACCCTCAGATTGCAAGTCGAGCGCCTTACGATCCCTGTGGTGGCAGTGGGCATAATCACAATAGGATCTTTATACTTCTGACAAAAAAACAAACAAACTCAGTTTTTCAGTAACGTATAATACATCTATTATAACGAAAATTTATAATGTCTTCGTTTCTATTTTAATCTTTCCAATTTCGTTCTACATCAGCCGGAAGTTTTGGTATGTTGGTAACATCTTAGGTTTTTACTGTAACTGGCCTCTATCATTATTATAATGACCGCTTAACTTATTTCAAATCTCTCCTTTTTATTAGGTTCTGATGAGCCGCTCCTGTCCACGATTACATACATTGATTATCAGAGAAAGAATTTCCACTTCTACCTTACTTCTAATCGCCTTTTATGGCCGTAGTCTACGGAGGATGCTTGTCCGGCGAAACGCCATTATCAAACGCTGTGACTGGCCCAAAAATCCCGAGTGGTCAACAGATTTTTATCTATGGCTGCGACACGCCGCCCAGTCCTACGAAACGACGGCGAATGAAATTTCCCAAATGTTAAACTGTCGCTGGGCTCCACTGTCTGATCAAGAGTTTAAGACCTTGGATTTTTACTCATCTCATTACGTGTCTTGAAGAAAGCAGCTGTGATGCATGCAGACTTTTGTGTAGTTTTTACAGCTTTTGTATTCTTCAGGCTTTAAGAAGTGTAAACGTCAAACGAATCGTCACCTTTGTCTAAGGTTTTAAGTCATGCCTTCTTCATTGCCAAGGTGTTTTTAAGGAATTTTAAAATTTTGTAACTACAATGTTTTCAACCGAACACAGGAAACGAGATTACTTGGTGCATATTTTAATACGTTTTTATCCAAAGTTTTTACAGCATTTAAACCAGCATAATGACATTATGCTCATTGTTTGTTCCTACTTATCCCGAAGAAACTTTTGAAGGCAACTGTATCACTCTGTCCTACCTAGATGGCGCCCCTGATTACATAACTCCCAATTAACCACTGGACTCACCAACTTCTAAGTTGTACGAAACAAATATTCTCTGCCCTGTGGTCAAACTTTTCACCCAACCCCTTAAGGAAACCGAGTATTTCTCGAAAACACTTTTACGGGAATTCATCGGAAGCATAGCCCAAATTTAGCGTTGATTTACATTAGAGCACGAAAATAATTAGGCCAACTAATTACCGTTCGTAACTTGGTTAAAAAATTAAATTTGTATTGTAGTGGCAATGATCTTTAAACTAGAAAAAAAGGGGGGAATAGTAGTTCGAGCATTAAATTTGTATTACAGTGGCCCTGTTAAATGTGGGCCGAGCTCAAGACCCCGCTAGTTAAAAATATCAACATCGTGCGCCATTTTTACCTCATTGTTATTTTTGTCCCTTCTAATTATTTCTTAAAAAACGTATTTATATTTAATGTAAAAGATCATTGAATTGTTTGATAGCCCAACAATTTAGTACTTAACCGAAACGGGAAGTTACAATATGTAGAATAAATTTCACATATGTATACAATATCTCATAAAAACGTTTGTCTGTTTTATTTTTTAAATAAAATAGTTTTTCATGAAAACTTCCATTGAATATTAACTATTGTCTGTTAATAATAAGCTTTGCAACTTCTTTGTTGTTGTAGTCTTACTACGTTTGGATTTGTTAGGGCCATTTCATACCATTTTTCATGCTTGCGAGGAATATTTACTCAACCGTGATTTGATCCCGGTCAAACTACGTAAAGAAAAACGAATATTCATGTCGTATAAGCTAAAACATCCTGCTGTGATTTGTCCATTCTGAGTTTTCACTGAAAAAATAGTATTTTATCGGCAGGGGCGGCTCCAGCCTTTTCCCGGTGAGAGGGCTGAGGGGAGTTAGACAAAACTTAAGGGGGGGGCTGCACTCTACATCTTTTGGGTACACATTTAGGCATGGCTTCAGTCCTAGCAAACCCTTCCCCCTTTCAGTCGCCCCTGACTATCATTATTTGATATTCGTAAGCCCAAACACACACACACGTGTGTGAGTGTATGTATATCCATAGAGTGCAGGTATATCAACACCAGATGGTTACTAGTACCTATTACCCAAAACCAGCTTAAATTCTTTTGCCACGTTGCAACCGTTGCTGAAAATCACGTGTTAGGAAATGCATACTTAATCATACCATAATTTTGATGATGAGTTTGTGATAAACACAGAACAAATTGGGGAGTGTTAAAACAACTGGAATCACCACTAACAATAAGTTATCATATATTCCTTAACAAACTCCTACTGTATGAATAGTGAATAGAGATTAAATATTTGTATGACGCTTTCCAGTAATGTATAGAATATAAAAGACTAAACTTGCAAGATATGAAAGCGTGAACAGAAGACAGAAACTATGCTACGTGTGCACAATATCACTATGGAAATGATAAGATGCTGCAGCATATCTAGTAAGTTTTATTGCTATGTCCATGTGATATGTTTATAGCAAATATAATGCACGCAGTTTTGTTGGAGTAAAATATATAATTTGTATAATGAAAGTAAATAAACCACTGAAACTAGAAATGACGTTTCATGGTTATTTTGTAATTTATGTAAATAATTAAAATTGCCACAATCTTCATTACTTCATACATTTTTGTACTGATTTTTTCTATTAACAGTAAAACTGAGGGTCAATTATGAAGAAACTAGTGGTTATCTTAATCGAATAATTATCTGACACATGATAAAAAAATAATAAAACTGCTTTTCAACAATAATGTACTATTAGAGCTTGTTAACAACACAACTTGTGTGCTCATCAGTTCATCTCTTGCTGTGATATCTTCATTGAAAAATAAATGCCCCTCCTTGATGGTGTACAAATTTTGGTGAAAGTCCTGGGGCCTTTGGGGCATCATCGGTGATTCTCGTGCAAATATTTACTTGATGGCACGAATCACCTCTCTAGGAAATCTATTACGTTTTTTAAATTATTTATTTGCAGAAGACCTAGCCCATATAAACTGGAAGATTGTCCGATTTAACCTCGTCTATAAGTGAAAGGTTAGAAGGTGTGATGTTTGCATGAAATGAAAAAGCTGTGGATGTAATCACGTCGGGATTCCTGTATAAGTTAAAGCGATCAGAAAAAGGGATCGTTAACAAATGAAATTAGAATCCAAGCAAAAGAAGGCAAGAAAACTGTGACGCAGAAAATAGCTAGAATAAGATACATTATTCTTCTCATTGTCAACACTTTCATTAAATTGTCTTCGATCGTTCAGTGAATGAAAGACCTAGATACCTCAACCAACGGAAGTCATGAGTGATAGCAGAGAACATTTGTTTCTTGTTGTTGTTTTCTAGTAAGTGTACAAAATATCCTAGATGTCATAAACATGTTGAAACTATTCTTACAGTCCAAGTCAAAATCATCAATGGAAAAATCCAGTGCAAAATTAGCCTTGCTTTGGGATGACGCTATTCATCTACAGCAAAACACCTTTGGCGAGTTTCTTTTTTGTTTTTGGAGCATGGGATCCATCCCTAAAGTTATGCAAAGTATTATATAAGAAATTTTTGTAACAGATTGAATCTCGTTCAAAATTTCTATTAAAACATAAAAATTTCTGTACGATTGACTCAAGATTTTAAGGTCTAATAATAATTTAGAAGTAATGTTTTAACTGCTATTCCAAAAACATACAGTAAAATAAAACCGTTTGAAAGGTATATTCGGGTAATTATGCCATCCCTTAACTACCAATTATTCACACTCTCTCAACATATTTCTGTGTCTTTTTTTGTCATGACATAACAGAGAGGAAACATGAATTTGGTAATAATCGGTTCTTCTGAATCATATTATTCACGTGCAGTTATATGAAACTAGACTGTAACAAACAGTTAAATCAAAATAATTCAAATTGAAAATAATATAAAGATTAGCTAAAACAAATTCATCTCTCTGCGATGTTTTCATTATATAATCCAATTAGGAAGGATTCGATAGAATACGGCTGAAATATGTAACTTTGTGAATAAAGATGTTTTCATTACCTAATCTCATTAGTATCGAGTAGACTGAAATATGCAACTTACTACATAAGGACGTTTTCATTCAATGTGTAAACTGATTAGAATAGCTTAAGTAGAACAGAATAGGCTGAAATACTTAACTCATTGTTTGTTATTAATTAAACACAAAGCTTCATAATGAGCTCTCTGTGTTGTGCCCACCAGGGGTATTGAAACCCGATTTTTAGCGTTATAAGCTCACAGACACACCGCTGAGCCACTAGGGAGCATAACTTATTGAATTTGCTTCTTTGTTTGTTTGAAGTTAAACACAAAGCTACACAATGGGCTATTTGTGCTCTGACCACCACGGGTATCAAAACCCGGTTTCTAGCGTTGTAAGTCCGCAGACATCCCGGGGAAACTTACTGAATAAGAATGCTCTCATTGTGAAATCTGTTTACAGTAGTTTCAATGCAACAGGCTTAAATATGTAACTTAATGAAAAAAGGGCGTTAACATACACACAATGAAACTAATATGACATACGTTTCTTTTCACGTAATGTTACAAGGATTACTGATCAGTCAACTGCAAATTCATAGCATTTTGTTACATAAACTGGGAAGAAACAGCAAATGAAAACCTCTACTTCACAATGCTCTTACTGGTGTGCATTAGCCAAAAGAAGTGTTTTTTTTCTTTAATTTCATAAGTACAATAACTTAATGAAGTGTTATACATTTTCTCAAAAACATTTTTATTCCATAAAAAAAAGAACGTATTCTTAACCACAGAGAAAAACAATTGTCGCATTCGCCAATACACAATCCTTTGAAAACATTGCCACCCTCTACAATCCAACAAACTTTTCACAATTCCGTCATACTCCGGAAAATAGCTTGCTTAGCACAGTGGATATTTGACCTCTGTCTTCCCCTGTACATTGACAACAAATAGAAAAAAAATTATTTTATCATACTGAAGTTTGCTGGGTTTTTATTACAATCTTCTAGGGCTTTCTATTTCCCAATTCAAGCAGTCTAGAAGTTCTGGGAGTAATAATCAAATGTACTAGGTGCAGATTACAATGAGTAAAAACATATTTCAACCTCTTCTACTAGTTCAAAGTGTCTTTAGGCACTTCCTTTTGCTCCATCTCAACTGAAGAACCCACCAAATATTCCAGACAAATATCTACCAACTGCTGAGCTTCAGCAAAGTCTTGTTTTGTCTTAAACGCTAGAAGTAACACACTGAGTAGTAAATCAGAAAAGTTATATGGTATCCTTAAGTTTTCCCGACGTGGTTAGCTAGTAGCATACCTATAAATGCTGGATTAAATCATTTAGCTTGAAACCAATTGCAGGCATATTTCTCTTTGCTCCTACTTCATTCTAGATTCTGTGAGGATATGCGTGCATAGTTGGTAAATGTGATAAGTCCTCGTATGATGTCCGAGCTCGATTTGATATTGAATAATCTTTATTCACAAAAACAACAGCAATACAATAACCAAATACAAATCACAAAACAAGGGCAAGTGTTTCACGGTGTGTGTTAAACTGATAAAAGTGAGGTGAGTTAAAAACCCTTATCAGTGCCTCAACCCGTGTAAGTTAAATTAAGACCTATAATGTGAAAATCTCATAGTGAAGACTAAACAAAGTGAAAGCAAAATCCAGGTTAAGCTCCAAGATTCTCCATTCTAAGAGAAAAGCAAGTTTAAAAGAAAATATGTTAAGCTTAAAAGCTATATCTACCCCTCCCTTACAGAAGTAAACCTGGCTTAATACATAAAACAAAACACACAAACTCATGGTTGCACCTCACGTTCAAGACCCATATCCAATTCACCAAGAGGAAAAATAACTCTCTGTTTCTGGAGATCAAGTGCTATATTCCCTGCAAGAAAGCTGGGTAACTGTCAATTAGTGAACCCACATCTTGCATGTTTTCGAAACAAGGAAACTTAAAACATTGCTTACACAAATCATGGCATTCAAACAAAGAACTGTGGAAAACCCAATAATAAAAAAATATATTTTAATTAAGAGGATAGAAGATACACAGTATCATTCTTTACTACACCCTCGATGTAAGTGTATGACTGAAACATTGGAAAATAAAGATTCATTTCCTCTGAAGTCAGAGGTCGTCTAATTATTGAAGCATGTGTAGTAGATCCAGGTGCATCTGAGCTAATCTTAAAACAGTGAGATATGTCTGATTAATAATTGGAGATTCTATCTGATATTTACTGCAAAGTATAACTAAATCTCTAAACGAATAAGTTCTTGAGAATGAAATATGGAGACTGGACATCATGTCAAATACAAGTAAACAATCACTATTAATTCACAGACACACGTCACTTGTTTGAAATTAAACAGTCCCTTCTACTGGATTAATAAGCCTCAATTGAACAGGCCAGCATTTAAATTCAGTGTTCGATACTTTGGCGATAACATCAACTTAATCTGGAGTGACTAGAACTTCACATGACTGGTCATTCTCACTTAAGCATAGGGGAAGCCATAACCTTGAGATATCAACCTGAACTACCATTACAGCCATGATCTCGTTAGAAGAACAGTTGTGATCTCAATAGAATGACAATGAACAAAGGCAACTAGAAAAAAAATCAATTTAATTACTTTCTTGGCCACATGGCATTCTTGTATACTAGACATATCAAAAATATTTTAGTTGGCATTAAAAGACCTGAAAATATTTTTTTAAACAATTTTGAAAAGGCAGATTAAAAATTATTTGCATGGAAAAATTGCAGGAAACTTTTATATGCGTTTTTAATTTTGAGAGTTATTGGTTCAAACTTGATTTTAAGTTTACTTGATTCATTCTCATTTGCCTACATATAGTCACAACATTTCTGGACAGGAGCATTCATCAATAATGAATTATTTCTCCATGTAATTTTATTCTTGGGCTATTGTATCTAGGGATTATTATTCTTGGATTACATCATTAACATTAAGGTGTGTGGATGTGATTATCTCGTAAATATTCAATTATGAATGATTTTATGTAGCTAAAGATCTATTAAGGGTAAGCTGATGTAATTTGATTAAAGTGTGATATGCAGGCATATCATTTGTTTTATACGTGTTTTTATTAACATACTAACTTTTAAAATGTTTCTTTTAGTTAGTTTCTATGCAATTTCGGCATAACTACGCGGTCTAGAAAACCGTTGAAGCTGCCTCGTTCTAATTTCCTTTGGTTCTTTTTTCCTCCATAACAGATATTATATACCCTATCCGAGTGGATTTTGCTGAACATCCGTGTTGAAAATGTCAATAACTGAAATGTCTTTTTCTGACTGACCAAGTGTATGATGTTTATATGCTACAGCCAACGAAGATTGTGAGAGAATGACCAGTCCTGTGGTGGCACTCTCGCTAGACAAAAGATACGAGTTTTCTTGCATAAAGATTATTTTACACTTAACATCACACGCCTAGTCTATATATCTATCAATACTTAAAGCTCAGTCAAGTTTTCAAATTCAGATTGTTCCCTAATTTTTTGTTTGACCCTGCTGTTATCAAACAGACATATCTAATATTTGCACAGAAACCAGTTCATTTGAGAATATTAACAATGAATAATTCACAATATTGGCTCAACAAAACTAAAGATTATTGTACATATAAAGCCGCCTAAATCGCTCTATATGTGTGTGTATGGAATGAATCAAAATTTCATTGTTACAACGCATTTGCATGTAGTAAGTAAGTACGTGACTTTTACAGACAAGCGTACAGAAAAAATGACGAACGTTATCGCTCTAATTCTTTCATAGAACTATTCCATCTCGGGTCCCAATATTCCTTTCTTGTATCAAAAAAGATACTAGTTTTTTGTTTGTTTGTTATTAAGCACGAAGCTACACAAAGGGCTATCTGTTATCTGCCCACCAAAGGATACTAGTATATATATATATATATAAACTCACGATACGCTACTTTGGGCATATAATTAGATTTGAGGGTAGGCTAGTAGAGATCCTGATGAGTAATTTAATCGAATCAGATATACGTGTGCCCCACGCTTGGTATCGCTGGCGCACGAAAATACAGCTAATAAAAAGGAAACAAGTACAATAAAAAAATTTACATTTTATAAAGACAAGTATGGATTGATATATACGTAATCTAGCTAGCTATAGTAATATAGAAAGTTTTAATGCTACAAAAAGTATTGAAACAAGAGAGACAAAACTGCAAAAACTGAGTTACTTAAAATTAAATATATATATATACTACTAAAACTCTGAGATTGTTTGTTTGTTTGCTTGTCTGTAATTAAATACAGCAAAAACGGTGCACAATAGCATAATAGAAACAGAATAAAATAAGTTTCGTTAAAATCGGGCCACGGGTTACCAAGTTAGCGCCGTTTTTCTGGTCACTTTTATGAAAATTTCTAGCATGCGTAATTTTACATCACACTACCGTTCGCGCTCTTTACGAAACTTTTTACTTCACTTTTTTGAAAAATGAAATGGTCTTTCCTTTTACTCCCGATCAACAATCAAATATCTTTTCTTGAATTATGAATAACACGAATGGATTGAAATATTTGATTAAATTA